ACTTTGCAGGCTATGATTCAGCTAATCTATTTTGACACTTACTTTTGAAGAATGTGAACCTATTTCTCTTGGTTTACTGCTAGAAAGAGCCCATGACAATTAGCTCAGTTCTACGACACAGACTTCAAGATTTAGTAAGATGAATCTCATCCATAAAGTCTAGGATAACTTCTTTCTCTAATATTTCTTCATCAACAAGTATGCTGAGAAAGAGCTGTATTTTTCTAGCAGATGGGACTGGAGACCAAGCAAGTGTGCATTCCTGGTTTTATGTGGGCTGCTCCAAAAGGCAGTGGGATTGTCCTTCATTCTCTGAAACGGCATGGCATCCCCCCCCCAAACCCAAACCCAGATATCTGGAGTTCCACTGGGCAATGTTGTCCACACATGGGCCCAGGACCTCCACACCATTTACCAGTCTTTTCTGTCACTGCTGACTACCTTTATATCACCTTCATGGGAAGACACTTTGTCTTGGTCTTCATACTGGAATTATACTTTTGAATCCAGTCCGATTATGTCCTAGGTAAGTGACAGGCAGTCACAGTCTTTTTCTGACTGCGAGCTCAAACCCTCACTGACCATCAAAGAAGTCAGTACATGATTCTAAGAGCTATTGGTCACCAGGAATGGTGGTCGTTCAGCACCTCCAGAAATTAAGCTCGAAAGTAGGGTGTTTAAATGCCTAGCTATATACCAGAGCTCATAGTCAAGTTTTAAAATGTTGACCAACCATGATACACATAGCTATGCTCAAACTTTTTTTTTTCCCCGACATTTTTGTATTGCAGATATTGTGAGCGTTCATACTCAGTTTATGTTTATTTTAACTTTTGAAGTTTTAGTCAAACCACCGAAACAGAGAGCAAAAACTCACCAGGTGAGAATATTCCATCGCCATCTTTATTTGACCATCCAATAATCTCTCTCATCTTTCGAAGTGTTATTTGTTCCATGAGGACAAAAACAGGGGCAATTTCATAGGTAAACCTGCATGAATAAAGCAAAAAAACTCAACCAAACAAAATCAAAAACAGATTCTAAAAACACACAATAAATTCCCAGTCTATGATTCTTTGTGAAAATGCTTAAAATTCCTAAAAGTTTTCCTATAAATTGAGGTTCTGATATTGCAACCTTTACCCAAGAAAATGTCCTCAGGAAGACAATACTGGAAATACTGGTCAATAAAAAACCTGCAGTATTAGCTCTTTTGCAACTTTCTATATAACCAACATAAGACCTAATGCTCACCATCATAGCGCTGCTGACTGCTGCACATAATGGTACTGTAAAACATTTGTTTCCCAAAGTGCCAATTCCACACTTGTAAAATAACATATTGCTAAATCCTTATGAAAACAGTGAACTTCACTGAGCTAAACACAAGCATAATTAGAAGTATTGAGCTAGGGCTTCAGCATCTAAATACAATTAATTATGTGGATTTATTCTGTTGATGGTCTCCAAGGACAACTTATTTCTACAATACCATGTGATCAATAGCTGTCAAGAGTAATTATAAATGATGATTTTGTAATTACGAATTACCAAAAACAAGTCAGCAGTCAACTATTGTATCCACTTAATGAGGGCAAAAAATGTTGCATAGTCCAGTATGCCTCGATGTCACAGACAGATATGCAAATGGAAAGTGACAGCCATACAACCACTTTTGGTGACCATTGTACACGGATAAATTGCTACTGCTGTAAACAAACTCTGCTTGATGTGTATGCCAAAAAAAAAAAAAAAAAAAAAGGCAAAAAAAGAGGTGGGGGAAAGGGAACAGAGAGAAACTAAACAATCAACCCATGAATTCCAAAAGAATCTACAAGAATATGACACCCTGACACTTTGGCTCCAACGGATGTCTTCCACTTGAATAATTTCACCAAAATATATGTGTTATCTCTCTAATACTAAAATGACATTTTGAGAATAGGTATGGCAAACTTCAGAGAGACACATGATATGAAGAAGGGAACGCGTGTCTGAAAAGTTTGTCTTTTATTTACAGCTACACTGGTTAGTTAAAATATTAATTTTTTCTTCAATGCTTACATGTCCTTAGTCCATCAGAGAAACACCACTACTATTTTTAAAATGTTCCTTTAAGATTAAGGCAAAATAATACTTATTTTGCTTTAATTATCATTAGAACTGTCAGAGACAGACAGGTGAACACTGATCTGAAGTTTGGGTGCTGACAATAATTGCAGAGAGAGACAAAATTAATAAACCAGTTGGTGTCTACTAACAGTGGGTGGGGGTGTTTTATTTTTAAGCACTGCAAGTCCAGGATATATTCCAGTCTTTATTTAGGCAGAATGATCAACTGAAGCCAATGGGAACTCGGTGGTGTATAAATCACTGGAGCCTAATACAACATACATTTAAGTCAATGTGATTTTTTTTTGTATACAAAATATCAAGTGTTCACGTGGGGAATTTTGAATATACTTAAATCCAAGTAAAATAGCATTTATTTGTTTTATTATGTAATTATTTTTTTAATCTCCAAAGACTGACAAAGAAAAAAAAGAAGACTGCAGATTATTATAAATGATAAGGCAAATGCAGCTATATTACATCTTGGTTATGATTTTAAAAAGCACATCTCACTAAAGTTCACTCCAACTTACTTGTTTTAAACATAAATGATTTTGAAAAATTCAGTTAAATGCAGAAAGGGTGTTTGGCTTTGAAGGAACTGTCCAACTATAGAACCAACCTCCTGACTAAGAAACGCTGATTAGATTTTTCATACAGTTACAAGTTTTACAGGTATTTCTGTGAATTAACTAAAAAAGTCATGATCCTCAGCTCTTCACTAACAGAATAAATTAATGGATTTTTTGGTAGTGGCTAGTGCTGGCTTAATTCTGCTCTCACCTAAAGGCCACACCATTTTATCAAGCCAAATCATTCTAGCTGCCTGTTGTCCTGTTTGCCAGTATGTAAAACGCGCTCTGAGAAGAGACGTAAAGAATTTTACAACATTTTTATAGGTCATATTTTCATAGGCATAAATGCATAATAATGAAACCACCGATATAATTCTCTCATCTTGGCATAAAGAGAACTTCCAGATAGTATTATTGCTTTCTAACCTCAGCTGGCTGTTGCATGGTGAGCGAATGCCCTGTACTGCATATCCCTAGAGCTGGATGAGTAATGACAACTTCTGAAATTTTCACCTGAAGGTCTTACAATTAGCGACTGAGCCATGAATAGCATATTGATACATTGTTTCCAAATCAATGTGTGACGTTTATGATGTTTAATTTAATGTATTCCCTTCACAGTGACATTTAAGTAATATTTTCTAAAGATAATTTAAAATTTTGAGTGAGCACAGATGTTTTGATCACTCAAAACTCATTTACAAAAGAAAACAAATATTTTTAAATTGTTCACAAATATTGTAAGTGTTGTTTACAGGTAGAAAAGAAATAATGGCAAATGGGGAACATTCCCTACCATAACCCAGTGTTACTCTCATTTGTATGTTACATGGTTGTGTAGCTGAAATAGATTAGAACAGTCTCTAAGTAAAGATCAGAACCTGCTCTTCTGGGCTGAAACACTGCTCAAAACAAGCAATATGTTCCCCAGAGCTCGCAGAGATGATTTGGCTATTTTTAATAACCTTCTCTGTCAGTTCTTTGACTCATATTTTACAAACATCTTGCTTTAACCTTACTTGCAATTACTGTGTTATTTGAAAGCATATCATGTTGACCTTGGTTTGCTGAAAAACAGAGAGCAATATATTATTTGCATTTGCTAAACCTCATACGAGCAAACAGATGCTCAACTTTCATGCTCACAGGGAAGTATTTTCAAGATATGTTCTTGCTTGAATAAGTGGATCAGAAACTAGCTTTACGGAACTAGCTATTTTACTTTTAAAACCAAACAAAGGAAAAAGCAACCTCATTTAAAATGAAAGAGTTACTCTTTCAGAAGTGAGTGTGATGGTCTTAATAATGTGGCAATATTCCGTAATACTATCACAGTGTGACACAGAACTGAATTCTATTATGTCCTATCAATTTGTGCAATTTCACTGATTACAAAAGGATAACTGAGCTAGGATAACTAAGTTAGACAAAGGAAAAGGGGCTTGCAAAAAGTGACACTCTCTGAAATATGTTTTTGTCAAAGAGGAACAATATTTAAGCCAAGTTTTCTTTTAGAAGCGCAAACAGATTTGTTTTCACCAAACAACAAGAAAAATGGTGTAAAAAACCCAAAAAGGCACTTTAAAGTGTTTTGCAATACTTGTTTCACAATTAAAATATATGTTGCTGGGTTTTCTTCCCGATCAGCTTTCAAATCCAAATGCCTCATACCAATTTTTAGCAAACAGACTAATTGAGAAGATGATTATTACAAAGAGCAGGCTGGTTTTGGCTGGAGCACCTTATGTGTTTTTCTTTATTGCTTTATCACAAGACAGGCACAGCTCGTAATCTACATAGAGCTGCCAGTAATCACCTATACTTTATGAACCATATACTCCTGGATAGGCTAGTGAAAATATTGTTCATTTTCCAATCTGCAGCTACATTTCCTGTGTTCTGCCAGTGAGCAACAAACTACCCAAAGCAGAGGTAGCTTTAGAGTCAAAACACATCCTATACAGAACTAAAACAGAGCAGTCCGTTACCTGTCAAGTATTTGGACTCCCATCGCATTTCTGAGCACATACAAATCAATATACAAATAAAAACTGCCTAGAAGGGGTTTTTTTTGTTTGTTTGGTGGGTTGGGTTATTTTTTTCATTAATTACACTCTTTGTTGCAACATAATGCCTTACATTTACACCTAGCTTTCGTTGATTTTGAGGTCAAGAAAAACTGATACGTTCTAGACGTAAAATTTTACTTTTTTATACTTCCATTTATTTATTTACACACAACTTTAATAAATCTTAGGCTAATTCCTTCATTATAATCAAATTAAGTTTCAGTGTTACATTTTCAATCATTTTGAAACTGCTTCTTTACCAGCACATGAACAGGAAAAGGTGTTGCTCCAAGCCTGCTGTCTCTGGAGTCAACAGGAGAAAAGGCAATAAACTTTTACAGATTTTGTATTCTAGTGTTAATGTATGGATAACTGCAGAATTATTCCGTGTGGAGACAAAGCTTAAAAAAAAAAAAAAAAATCAGGAAAATACAAAGAAGATTGGTCCAAGAGAAGAAAAATAATTTCATGTTATTATATTGAAATCATCATGTTCTACTTACCGTGTGCTCTGGGATATTCACATTTCTATTTATCAGAAATGCAAAACTGTTCAGTTTATATATAACTGTTTTCACTGTATTACTGCTACATTAAGAAAAATATGAGACGCTTTTAATGAAGACGCAGCAACAGTAATTTAAAGAAGAAAATTACACACATCTGTGACAATGCATGTCTACCACAATAGATGGCAGCCCCCGTAAGCACCAGTCACAGACGCTGACGACAAGGCACTGCTTACATGTTTGTATTAGCGGTTGATGTCAGCCACTCCCCAGCCAAGCCAATGATGTCCAGCCCCGTGGACAGCTGATTGAAAAAGCGAGGATGACCTGGAAAGAGAATTGAGAGCAACTTAGAACACCTCCACCGGTGTCTCTCAGGTTTGATTTTGAATCGTCCGACCGTTCTGACACAAACGATGGTTTTGAGCCCGTAACACCCGTGCAGAGAAGTTTTCAAAGAAAGTCCTGCTTATGGGGAGACCGCCACCCAACACTCACGGATGCCTTGTTACAAACTTGAAAAACCACGTTGGAGGGAGCTCCTGTACGGAATCATTAGCGTTTAAATTAAAAGGGAGAACCTCAGAGCCGACTGAGCCTGTAAAAGACCCCCGGAGCCTGTGGGAGGGCTGGGGCTTGCCCGTCTCCAGAG